GCTCGGTGAGCCTGTGATTGATGTACAAAGCCAGGAAGCCTGGGGAAGGCAACTGGGTGGGAAGGGCTGTGGCCCTGCAGAGTCCCGCTCCTGTCATGTGACAGTTTGTGCTTGTTTAGCTCAGAGTCTCAGAAGTGAATCAAGGCAATCAAAGCTTGGTGACTGACAGTAACAGTGAACTCTGGGACAGAGAGGGTGCCTTCACAAGAATGGATTGCTAAGGACAAAATTAGCAGTGTCATTTCAGACCACTAAGAACATACAGGGACCCATGAGGACTCCAGACTTCAGGAACGATGATCAAAGATGACCATGAAAGGAGAGACAGTGAGGGCCCCTAGGCCAGACAGGACTGGTTCAAGTGTTGCTCTTTTACAAATTCTGGTGATGGAGGCCAGTCCATGATCTTGTCTTCAATCTGCCATCTCACAGGGGTGGACTCCTGCCTCCCACATCTCTCTTGGAGAATTATGTCTTCTGCTAAGGAATATGGTTCCTGCTGGCCCAGGTGTGAATGAATTAGTTGTAAAATGTGAAGGAGCTATTTTTCTTACCAGTGTTTTACTGTTTTTAAAAAGTTGGATTTTAGGCCCAGTGCAGTAGCCTAGTGGTAAAAGTCCTTGCTTTGCACACACCAGAATCCCATTTGGGTGCTGGTTAGTGTCCCAGCTGCTATACTTTCCATCCAATTCCCTGCTTATGGCCTGGGAAAGCAGTAGAAGATGGCCCAAAGCCTTAGGACCCTGTACCCATGTGGGAGACCTGGAAGAAGCTCCTGACTCTTGGCTTCAGATTGGCTCAGTTCTGGGCATTGTAGCTACTTGGGGAGTGAATCAGTGGATGGAAGATCTTTCCTTTCTTCTCTCCTCTCTGTAAGTCTGACTTTCCAATAAAAATAAATATTTCTTTTTAAAGTTGTATTTATTTGAAAGCTAGAGAGAGTGAGAAAGGAGATATTCTGTCCTCTGGTTCATTCTCTAAATGCTTGCCACATCCAGGATGGGTCAGGCCACAGCCAGAGCCAGGAATTCCATCCAAGGCTCAGTGAAGCTGGCAGGAGCCCTAATATGTGAGCTGTCATTGCCACCTTCCAGGTCAGCCCTGACCTAACTCTGTACTGCAATGTCCACCCTGGGTGGGCAGGAGTGTAGTTTACTATTAAATCACACTATCACTGGGCTAGTGAAGCAATGCCAGACATTAAGGATGTGTGTGTGGCCGCCCTGTCTCACTGGGCCTTAATGAGGCTCACTTTTGAGGCTGTGTTGATTCCTAAGTTGATTCCCCTAGCTCACTCTAGGAAGTGTTGGGAGAGGTAGGTGGCTCCCAGACTCCAAAGCTGACCCTTTGCCTCCTCTTCATTGGAACCAAGGTGCAAGCTGCCCAGCAGGCCTGGGGACAAGCATGTGGAGGCCCCTCACCTGACCAGTGCTTCTGAGTGTCCCCAGTCCCCCACCCATAAAGACCAAATACACACTAATTATTCAATGGATTCCAAGGTTTCTGAGCTGCCAGTGGTAACTATCAACTTCACGTCCTCAACTGGCCCAGACTTCACCTCTGCATCACTTTGTGTATTCCTTTCTGTGTGGAAACAAATTGAGAAAAGTTCCGTAAGCCATATAAATTTACACCCTGCTGTATGTTCAGGCTGTGGGACTTAAACGAAACAGAATCTTTAACTCACCCGCTCACTGCAAAAATACTACTTATTTTCCCTGCACATGGACCATTTACCAGGGTAAAACAAATGCTTTTTTTTTCTTAAGTTGTGTACATGTTAGTTTCTTTTATTTTTCTTCTTGGCCAAACTTCCAAAAGTTAGGCAGCTAACAAAGTGATTGATTTTGTTCTACTTTGAAAAACGAAATGAAACAAAAGGGAAGACAACTCAAAAAAACATAAAAAGAAACACTCACAAAACTTTCACCTCTCATCAAACAGAAATCAAGTGATCTGGACTCTATACCCAATTTGGCTGTGGCCTCTGTAACGTGACCTTGGGATTCCCTCCACTAGTCTGTTCTTGTGTTTCTGTTCACTGGTGGGGTGGGGTTGAGAGAGGGAACTGACCTGAAACACATCCAACCCCCAAATCCCGTGGCTCCAGTTCACCGCATGGTTAAAAAATGGCAAGACTGTGCTTTGAAGCATATTGTAATACTGACTCAAATCCTGGCACTGAGACATACATCTCAAAGGAAAAGCCCTCTGTCTCATTCCCCAGGCAGGAGGGGTTTCTCTTGCTTTTCTCACAAATACCTTTGACGGGGGAACATCTGCCGAAGTGGAGGTGCTTGCTGCTGAAGGTACACACTGAAGGTGTGTGTGGGGCGGGGGACGCAGGGGCACGGGAGTGGTGGTGTTTGGAGGGGAGGAGCTTTTTGGTGTTCAGAACTTCCTCTTCCCACCCTGTGTGTCCTCGGGTGGGGCTGCCCCAGCGCCCAGGGGACGACAAGGCACTCTCTAGAATCGGCAATGTGCTGGTCAGCACTTTGGCACTTTTCTGAAAGCTGAGCCTTGGCTCTCTGCTTGGAACCTGGATCTCTGGGATCTGGTTAACACCTCTGGGACATGGGGCCTTGGAAACACAGCGGGGGAATCTGAATAAAGCTTGGCTTTGGTGTATGTAGCCCAAGGCAGGCAAAGGGGTGGAGGCCGTGGGAAGGCAGTGAGGCCGTGGGAAGGTGGTAGCCTTCCTATGTGCTGTGGACACCCTAAATGCCTTCAGCAACTCCCCACCCATCTGCAGCCACCAGTGGGGCAGGGTTTGGAGGAGACGGGATGGTTCTTCTGTCCATTGACTTAGTCCCACGTTCTCAGCCCAGGCAGAAGGAAGTTGAGACTGAGGGTTTTTCTTTTGGGCTCTGCCCTGCTGCAAGACATACAGAGGAGCCAGCCCTGTGGCATAGTGGGTTAAGCCATCACCTGCAACACCAGCATCCCACTGAGCACTGGTTCAAGTCCTGGCTGCTCCATTTCTGATGCTTCTTAATAATGTATTTGGAAGATTAATGGAAGATGACCCAAGTGCTTTGGCCCCTGTGCCCATGTGGGAGAGCTGGAAGAAGCTTTTGCCTGGCCTAGCCACAGAAGTTTCAGCCATTTGGGGAATCAGTGGATTGAAGAAAGATCTTTTTCCCTCTCCAACTCTCTTTTCAATTAAAAAAAAAGTAAAAAAAAAAAAAAAAAAAGCCATGCAGAAATCAGTACTCCCATCTGGGCCTCTCCGCCTTGCTCTCTGATGCTGGTGCCCCCAGGTCCTCCCCAACACTGTATAAAGCCCCCGGCCCATGCAGCCATCTGTGCAGTCCTCTCACATTTCGGCTCCATGGCTCAGGCTGACTGCTTTGGAGGTTTTGGAGGGAGATGTGTGGAGCTGGTGTCTGAGTTCAGGGCTCCAGTGAGGGTGTAGCCCAGTCCCCGAGGATGGCTGGTCAGAGTTGAGGTCAGCCTTTTGTAGTAGGGCCAAGAAGTACCAGGGCCAAGTGCACTGGGCGTCCTTCCCCCAGGCCTTCCCGCCCATGACTGGGCCCCTGCTTCCATACCTCCCTCCCTACCCAGATACTGTGTATGCCTCACCCTGGCCAAGTCCAAGTGCAGAGCCCATGTGGCTCAGCCCATGGTGGGCAGGTAAACATGCACTGACCAGAGTGCCCTTCCTATCAGGAGCAGCTCCAGCTCTACCCTCCCACGGCCCTCCATCTCCTCGTTCCAGTCAGTGGCCAGGGTACCGCTGGCAAGACCTGTCCATCCCCTGGCAAGGGGATCAGGGCAGCATGTCTGATTCCCTCCTCAAAGGTCATCTTTCCCCACAGCTCCTCCCTTCCTGCCCACCCCAGCGGTGGTTGTTATTTATTCCTCAGAACTAAATGCCTCGGTCCTTCTGAGCTGACTTGGCAGTGTTCTGCTACACACACACAGCCAGCAAGCCAGGCAGGGCCCGGCAGCACCCCAAAGAGAGCTTTCAGCACCCAGCCCTTTAGATAAGCATGACCTAGATGTGTCACAGATCCCTTCGCCTCCCAGCCTGGTATTCAAGATGCCTTTCTGGCCACTGGCAGCATCCGCCTGACCCCCTCATCTGCTTGGACACTCGCATGCAAGCCCGCTGGAGGGACTCTGAATGAAACCAGGAGCACTGTGAGCACACAAATTGGGGGAGAAGGAAAGCTTGTGTCTGCAGTGGTCCATGTCCCCAAGGGCCCACATGAGAACCTGGAAGGTAGGTGCTCCCTCCTCAGGCCTCAGTGCTCCACAGGAGAGCACAGTAGAGCATGCCCACCTGGCAAGGCGATAATCTAACCCTAGAAAACAGCAGTCCAAAATATGCTGGCCTCCTTGGTGAACAATTAAGAGGAGACCCTCACCAGAAAGATGCCCAGTCCTACTCTGGGTGGCCCATCACATACAGAGCTCTCCTAACTCACAGCACAAGCCAAGGCAAAGGAAGGAAGCAAGTGGTTCTCACTCTGCCTCTGTACAGCTCCCTGTGTAACACAGAGACAGTGATACTTAACAAGCAACTAATGGTTTTAGGACATCAAATTGTACTCTGACACATACATGGGAAAATACAATTAAAAGGCAATGTTAATTTTCTACAAATATTCGGAAGCTCTTTCATGTGTCAAAACTGGTGGACAACATGGCAAAATGATAGTGAACACTTGCTATGTCCTAACCTGGTATTAAGGCACTGCAGCAAGCACTTTGCACGGATTAATTATTGCAACAACGCTGGGCTAATATTATCCCCATTTTTACAGATGAGAAATCTGAGGCCCAGTGATTACACACAGCCAATGACAGACCGGCAGAAGCCTCCAGGTGCATCCGTGAAAACACAAGGTTTATCCCTTCCTGACCAGCAGCACCCCAGAAATGGGGAGTGTGGCTGGAGCCCAGCCCACTAAGTCACCCCATGTTTGTGGGGCTGCCTGGGCCACTGCTCCACCTGTGCCACCCCAAGACCCAGTGACCCAGCAGAATTTCCTTACTGCCGTCTCCTGCTCTGTCTCCTCTTTCTCCCTTCTCTCCTTTTGGGCCTCGATCACCTGAAACAGAGGAAAGTGGTGTAAGGAATGGAAATAAACCCCAAGCATGATTAAAACAGCATGTGCTGAAGACTTCACTAGAGAATGCCTCAGGCAGGAACCCGCACCCATGCAGTGGAGAGGAGCACAGAGCCCGGGAGACCACTTGCTGTGATCAGCCCAGGCAGGAAAGGGCACAGCAGAGGATGGCTCACTCCCTGAGAAAAGTGGCATCCACAACACAAACCCAAAGACTGCAAGATAGTTAGCTGCCAGAAGGCAAAGCAAAGATGCTCCTATTAGACGGCCAAAGTTTCAGCTGTGCACAGCCAAGTGTGTTCCATCGAAGGGGCTTCAGTTATGTTAGGATAGAGGCATGTTGTCTATCAGATGCTAAACCATGAGTAAGGATCACCACTGTAGGATTTCCTTCCCAGGATGTGGTTAAAAGAGCAAGATCTTTCCCCAGCTGGCGTCTCCTTCTACAGGGATGTAGAAAGTCCTGGCAGCCTTCAGAGGACGCTAAATTGATGAGGGCATGCTAGTTCAAGAATGTCTAGAAAGATAGCTGCAACCCAAAAGCCCAGAGCACACTGGTTAAAAAGAAATTTAAAAAGCAAGTCAGAAAGTTCTAAGGGAGAAAGCCTGAGGTGATCAAAGTTTTGACAAATAAAACAAACAAAAACGGGCAACCACACACGTGTTCGAAAGTGGTTTGAGAAAGGTCTGGCAGGAAGTGCTCCTGAACACTGGCAGTAGTTATTTTAAAGGAGCTGGGGAGAAAAGAACCCACTTCTTTACTTGATCCTTTGTACCTTTGTTTATGATTTAATTTTTGTCAGTGAATGTGAATGGCTTTAAAAGCTGTTAGAGGATTCATTTTTGTGAAATAGGGAAAAGACAGGAAAACTTTAGCCTATCTCATTATCAATCAAAAAACAAAATAAAAAGTCCCAGGGATCCAAGATCAAGAGTCCCTCTGAGACATTCCCTAGGGAGGAATGATGAATGGGGTTTTCTGTTTTCACTCTCACAGGTGCAGAGTCAGAAGCCTGGCGGGAGGGCATCGAGGCCCTGTCTTCTGCTGTGGTGACAAGAGGTCTGAGCAATCTTAAAAAACACCATGAAAAGATTGGGACCTATTACTCTAAAGTGAGTCCCCCCAAAGCATGAACAAAGGGACTTTTTAGGCATTGCAGACTTGAAAAGTGGATTAAAGTTGTAAATATGAGAAGAATGAAGAGTCTTACAGAGAGGAGGAATGTGGCAGTCCTGGCAAGAAGGTGCAGTTCTGGGCCTGCTGGACCCACCCTGCTGGCTGCCTCTGCTCACATCTCTCAGCTGCACTCAGCAGCAACACTCTCCTTGCAGTATTGAAATAAGCCTGCAGTATTGAAAACAATTATACAGCTATGTGCTTTTTTTGTGCCTGGGAAAAGGCGTGTGTGACTTGGTAACTTGAGAATCTCTAGTTTTTAGATGAAAAATCGATGCTGGTTAAGAGATAGTGACTTGCCCAGAGTTGATCAGCCAGGCAAGGCCCATGCCCCTGTCCTGCCCAGCAGCTGCCAGTGAGCAAGGTCCTGGGTGCCCTATCACCAGTTATTACCTTTGAACCCACGCATGCCCATTGGTCCTGTGGCCCCCAGTTTCCCATCATCGCCTTTGGGGCCGGGCAATCCTGGAGTACCTCTCTCCCCAGGCAGGCCTAGGGAGGAAAGAGACAAATGACAGAGCATTAGACTTGGAACTGTAAGCATCCTGAGAGGTCATGGTCTGGTTCAATGATAGCCCTTGCTTCCTGATTTTTTCTTGATTCATTTCAGACCACAGCTATAGCCAAGTCAAGCAGGTGGGCATGGACCTTCCCTGTGAGCACCTCTTTTGGTTGGTCCCAGATCCTGCTTCACTGAAAAGTGTATGATGGTGGTGGTGGCAGCACCCATCCATCAGGGAGATATCCTTTCCCCTACATGCTGCTGGAGAGAGGCAGACAGCCAATACTCCCTGGAGCACATTACAGGTGCCAGGCACTGCATGGGATGCTTCTCATAAACTGTCTCACGGAGGCTTCACGGACATTATTCCACCTGAGGACACAGAGGCCCAGAGAGGTTAAGTAACCTGCCTGAGGGCACAAAGACAGAGCAGGATCAGAGCCCCACTCTTTCTTAGCCAAAAGTTCATAGCAGGTCAGCTCCACCACATGCTGGAGCAATAGGGTTCCTTCAGGAGGGTAGTAGGGTGGGCCATGAGGAAGGGGGAGAAAGAGGCAGGTCCCCATCCTATTTGAAAGCAAAATGAAAAGATCTCTGTCCTTCTGTAAGCATGGGGAAGTACAGCAAAGGGGACTGGAGGCCGAGGGAGATGAAGTCAGTAAGGTCACTAAGTGGGATCAGGCCTCAGGGCTCCTGGGCTCCTGGCCCCACGGCCTGCACTGCATCACTGAGAGCCAGAATCAACAAATGCTTTGGGCAGGCGGGAGCTCTGGGCTCCCAAGAAGCCTGGCCTAAGCTCATTGGAGTACCCTTCATTCTCTGACTAATTGTTCTTTCCTACTTGGAATGTGAGCTTCCTTGCAACCTGTCCCCCAGGACTTCTGCCCACATTGCTAACGTCAAGTGGCCAAGGCAGGGACTCAGGAGAGAGGGCGGACCCGGGGAGTGTAGATCAGATTTCTGCCTTTTCCATCCTGACATGATGTGTCTATTCCCAGGGTCTGTGGCCACAACAGTTTGGACCCAGTGCAGGCTATGCCCCAGGCTTCCCACCCTATCTATGGTTCATTAGGCACAAAAAGTGATCCCATGGCCCTGGGCGCCTCCATTCTGAGTTTGGGGAGGGGAAGCCAGAAGAGGAGGCATGACTGGGGCTCTGTCTCCTCTGCCTCAGCTTCTCCCCTATGTGTGCGACTCCCATACAGACTTAGGAAAGAGTTGCCTTGCAGCTTTAATTCCTATGATAACCAGATACTTTCCCCTGTTTTGTCACCTTTTACTTGTTGCATTTAGCAGACAGTTCTCTCCTAGGAAAATGTTGCCTGTGGCCCACCCATGTTCAGGAATGGACTGATTGGGATCAAGTAACTAGATAACTGGATATCTGAGACAGTGAGGCTATTAAAAGTGTCGCTTTGCCCTGGAAGGACCCTCTCTACCAGCCAGTGAGTCCTATAGGGCTGTCCCTGTGGGTAGCAGGCTGGGGAGGTAGAGTGGGGGTATCGGCCACCTGGTGACTCAGGGAGCAAAGAGGGGATACAGCATTACTTACACTGGACCCCAGAACATACCCCTTCCCCCAGTTCTTTCTGAAGGTCATGGCCACACAGCTCTAAGAGGGTCAGACAGGAGGGCTGGTTTCAGAGAGCCACAGGCCTCTCACACAATCTTTCCCTTCAGATCCTGGCACTCCTAGGAAAAAGTATTTGCTGCACCCCCCCCACCCTGTTGTGCCAACAGCCTGCTCATCCCCTGACAGAACACAGCAGAGCCAGCAGAGTGTGCTGACTGGGTATACCAATGGGAAGGGGGTAGCAGGGACAGATTTAGAGGTCTTCCTCAGTACCCCCACTCCCAGGGGCTTCTCCATTACCTCGAAGTCCAGGTAATCCAGGGATGCCGGGCTCGCCTTCCTTTCCTTCATTGCCTGGATCTCCTTTGGGTCCTGGTGGCCCTGAAAGGGTTGAGAGAGCACCAAGGTTAGAGGAGCAGGTGGGCCTGGAGGAAATGCAGACTCCTTTCTCTTTAAGAGGAAGGGCTGCTGTTGCACTTTGCAAGCACAGAGGGAAGTATCAAATCAGGGAGAAGTAGAGGAAGGCTTCCTGGAGGAAGTAGTATCCAAAGAGAAACCACAGAAGATGCCAAGGTCAAGAGAGGATGGCCATGTGTGATGGATTGAGTCTGTGTTTGCTGGGCCCAGACACCTACCTTGAGGCTGTCACCCCTCAGTGGAATGAGTTTAGAAGTGAAGACCCTGGACAGGTAATTAGGTTGAAATGAGGCTGTGAGCACAAGGATCTCACAAAAGACAACTTTATAGTGAAAGCCCACAGAAAGTGCTCTTCCTCCCCATCCTCTCCTGGGGGAGGAGATAGCAAGAAGGTGGCAGTCACGCCCACCTGGAACCCCCAGATGTGACCTCATTAGGAAATGAGGTCTTTGCAGTACAGTAGTCCAGATGAGGTCAGGTTAGGCAAGGCGGGGCCTACTAAACAAGATTTTTACAGACACGCAGGAAGCACACCATGTGATGACAGAGGCAGAGCTTTGAGCGACACTTCTGCAAGCCAAGGCACACCAAGGGCGGCTGACAATGAGCAGCTAGGCAGGAATCCTTCTGTGGGGCTTTGCCAAGGAATGCAGCCCCACAGACACCTTGATTTCCCACCTCCAGCCTCCAGAGCCCAGGCAGAGTAAGCTGTCGTGTTGTCTTCAGCCGCCCAGGGTGTGGGACCTCATCATGGCAAAGAATCTTACACGCGAACACTTGTAGCCTAGCAGCTTTGTCTTGCACAATACATATTTGATGAATGAAGGAGTTATATGAGCTCAGAGGGTGTTAATACATGCAAAACAACCAGGACGCCAGGATCGCGATGTACTGATACATTCCCAAAGTTGGCACTGTCCTCAGACCCTAACCGAAGTTGACAGCTGTTTAATAATTCAATGGCACATGCACAGGGAAAAAGCAATCAGTCTTGTTAAAACTATGAGTTGCCCAGTGTATTTAAGGAGGACCGGGTTATGGCACCATCGACTGATTTTCTACAAAGAACTGGCCACACTGACCTCAGGATTGAGACACAGACATGTTGGAGCCAGAGTGAAGGTTGTTCAGCCAATGGGAAGCCAAGTTAAGACACAGATGAGCTCCATAGTTTCCCTCCCACAGTTGCCCCTCCAGGTCAAGACTGCAGCAAAGGGAATGGAGAGGATGCCTGGGCAGCACTCCAACCCCTAGACACCCTTCACCCTCCCCACTGGGAATCCAGGGGCTCTAGACATTGAGCTGGTCTCAGATGCAAGGCACTGTACACTTGACTTTGTCCTATTCAGGCTGATGCTGGTGAAACCAATGTCTGGCCCTTCCTAGAAACAGTTCCCACAAAGGGAGGCCACTACTCAGGGCAGCCTACAGGCAGGGCACTAGGGTGGCAGAGACTGGCAGGTAGGGGGACAGGTAGAAGCCAAGTGTGGATACAGAACATCTTGGGTCTAGGTCATGAATTTGATCATTGTCGTTGCTACCCCTTTCCTATGCTCTGCAGTGAGGAGTAAGTGGAGTCAGTGACATAGTAGGTCTAAAATAGCTCCAATGCCTTGTGTGGGAGATCAACCCAGCCATCTAAAATTTCACCGGAGCACCCAGGGCCTAGTCAGGCAGACCCTGCCTACTGATGTGGTCCCCTGTCCTGGTACTGTGGTCCCAAAGATGATAGGTCTGCCTGTAGGGTCAAAGCCTCCACATCCCCCTACACCTGGGACACAGCTAGGGTCCAAACAATAATGGTTGGGTGGCCCCAGAAGAGGTTACAGCCTCATTGGTCCCAGCTGCTTTCTCACTTCTTCTTCCTCAGCCACATGTCATCTTCTGCATTACTGGGGCAGGCCAGGGTATGGAGGTGGCTGGGAGGACAAGCAGGATCCTAGGATCCCTCTCCTCCCAGGACCTATCCAACTGTCTAGCACCCATCCCTCCTCACCCCCCTACATACTTTATGTGGATCTCACTGAACTACTAGGAAACACTGCTTGGAAGTATGCTCTGAACAGAAGAGAGGACCCGGGACTGAGTATTGAGGGTAAGCACTGTGGTTTTCCTGGGGAGCAGCCAATGGGAGGGTAAAGCAATACTTTCTCCCTTCCTGCATCCTAGAACCCTCATGGTGAGGCCAGGACCTGTGTGTGTGTGCCAAGAGCAGATGATCAGACCCACCTGAAGCCAGCAGCACAACAACCAAGGTTTTGATGGAGACAGCACCCCCAGGACCACACTAATCCCAGGGCCATGGGGAGAGAGTCGAGTTCTTAGACTAAGCCCTCCATGCCTAAGCCCCTGCAGTGGCTCCTGACACTTACTCCCTTTGCAGTCTCGGGAGCAGCCTCACCTTCGTCATTGAGGACCCCCAATGAATCCTCAATCTTGTGCCATGGCCAAGGAGACTTGTGCCCTGTAAGGCCCAGGGACCTGTCCAGCTAGTCTTCCAAGCCCCAGGGGTCAAGACAGTGCCTAGGAAGTGCTGAGGCACCAGTTCATGTTCACGGTATCCCAGCGACCCCAAGCCTGGCAGAGGCAGGTACGGAAGATGAGAGGCCAAGGGGTCGTGAAAGTGACCTGGGATCTCTGGGTAGTGCTCTGGAGTAGAAACCCCAGATCTCCCATCAGTCTCTTCCCAGGGAAGCCCCACCCCTCCTGCAGACCCCTGTTAGCTGGGGTCAAGGTCAGAGCCTAGGGTCCAAGGCCCCCTCTACGACAGGCCTTCCCTATATAAATGCTTGTTCAACTAGACTCTACTCTCCTACATGGTGCTTGAAGGAACTCTGCCTTGTGATCTTGTTTTCACAAATTAATAGACCAATTTGCTAGTCCATTTGCTAGCCATGGGCTTGGTATTCCAGTTGGACCAATCAAGTCTCCTCTCTGGGCCCAGGTCCTTCTCTGCAGAGCCAAAGGATAGGACTGGGTGATGTAGAGATGAATGGCCTCTCCACTGTGCTGTGCTTCCGTCATATTTGTCCCAGCCGACCGAACCTCTGAAAACGGCTGGGTGTTTGTGGGGGAGGAAGGAGGGTAGTGGGCCTACATCCCCTTCTGGTGTGACCCCTTCCCTTGCCACCCCTCCCTATTCTGGGATGCCTCCCCTCTCACTGTTGAACTTTCCATGCTTTTCTCTAGCCCAAGACAGATTCCAACAGATCTGACTGATGCAGAAAATCCCAGACACAACCCAGAAAGCCCCAGGGTGGATGCACACACAAGACAAACTGCAGACCAAACTGATGGGAAAGTGTGTAGCAGAGTGAGGAAATGAAAACCACTTGAGTTAAGCTCAGGATAATGTAAATAAGTTCATATTTGAAGAATACATGGAATTTAATCTATGTGAATTCTGAAGCAGGAAAGGGCAGAGTGGGAATGGTGTGTGTGTGTGTGTGTGTGTGTAAGAACACATATGCACATAAGTGTACACACAGTTCTCAGCCCATAAGAGGAGCTGGATATAGTGAGGGTGGCAAGGTCATCCCAGACCGCTGTATGGGGATGCATGGAAGCTTATTTGATGAAAGATCACTTGTCCAGAAGTGAAGGGAGTTTTTTTCTTATTAAGATTAAGTGGTGCAATGGTGACAGCTCAAGAAATGTGGCTGCTGCCACCAATACAGGAGTCCTGGCTTCCAATTGGTGCCCTTCCCTGCCATGCTGTTGTGGTTATTTGGAGAGTGGGAGAATGAACCAATTGATGGGATTTCTCTTTCTGTCTCTCAAATAAATGAAGATTTGTAAGCATATTCACAATGGGTGGACTGGTAATGACATATAGATTTATCAACAGGAACCTTTTACATAATAATAGTTACTTGGCAACAATGAGAAGGGGAGGTGGGACTGGGAGCCAGCAGATAGGATGGTGATACTGAGAGCCAGAGAGGCCAAGTGATGGTCAGCTGAGAAGAGCCAGGAGCCCCAGTGCTGTGATGGGAATGTTAGAGCCCTAATCAGCAGTGTGATGGTGTTGTTAGGTGGGGGTTCGAAGGAGGTGACTAGGTCACAAGAGTGGGGCCCTTGTTGATGGCATTCATGGTCTCAGAAAAGAGATGCTGTTTGTCATTATAGTGTTTCAGATCGAACCTCTCCTGTGATGCCTGCATCCCATATTGATGCCTGTTCAAGAACTGGTTGTTCTACTTCTAATTCAGCTCTCTGCTAAAGCATGTGGGAAAGCAGCAGAGGATGGCCCAAGTGCCTAGGTTCTTATGGGAGACCTGAAAGAGACTAGTTTCTTGGCTCCAACTTTGCCTTGCCATTGCAACCATTTGGTGAGTGAACCAGTGGATGGGAGACCACTCTTTCCTCTCTGTCTCTGCTCTCTGTAGCTCTGACTTTTTAAAAAAAAAAGAATTTTTAAAAAAAATTTTTATTGGAAATAATATTCCACCTGCTGTTCACTCCCCAGATAGCTGCAATGGCTGGAGCTGAGCCCATCTGAAGCCAGGAGCTTCTTCCAGGTCTCCCACATGTGTGGCTGTCTTCTTGGAATTGCCCTTATGAAATGCCTGAAAACTGTTCTCTTTACATTAAGACATTTTTTTAAAGAAAAGTTGTGGACTGCTCCTTGAATTGTACCCTGAGTATGGGCGAGTTTTAGGGATGTAATCTTGTTGAAAACAGAGGTCCTGTGTTCAATTACCAGCCGTGTGGCCTTGTGTAAGCCAGGTATTTGCTCCTCAAGTCTCAGTCACTTTCCTGCAAGAACCCTGCCCCTCCCTCAGTAACAGCACCTGCATCAGATCAACCCTACAGCTTGTCACGAGAACCCACTCAAAACAAAAAATGACATCTACCGCAAACGCCCTGCACCCTGGAAAGGAGGACCCAGATGGAAGGCCCCATCACAACTAGTTTTTGCTCTAATGAATGTGGAAGTTCGGGGGCGGGGGGGGGGGACACCTCACCTCAGTTGCAGAGTGGGTTGGAGATGGACAAACCCCTACAGATGCCCCCTCATGTAGCCATGCAAAAGAAAGGTGAAGGAACACACCCCAACTCTCAGATCCCTAACTCCTGAGCACAGCTCCTACTCCATCACCTCACAGTCAAGCAAAGGGACCACATAACTTTCTTGGAAAATTAGTTTGAAAAGATGCCTTATGAGCTGCAGTTGGCATGGTTCCCAGCATATAGTAGAGGGTGACAGTGCCTGTTGAGCTATGGAGTCGTCCATCACTTGAGCACACTTTTGGGGAGCCATGGTGGGTTTTGTCTGAGGGGTGAGGAGTGATGTGGGTAAAAGGCTCTTCAGGAAGGCTCCTCTGGCAGTGTGTTGGGGGCAGGAAAGCAAGGGCATAAGAGGAAGCAGGGCACTAGCTTATTCTGAGTAAAGAGGGGAAAACTGGATTCTGAGGCACTAACCTTGGTGGCCGTATGGCACACATCTTCCCACTTCTTAGAGCATCACCTGTTGGAAAAGCTCTGTTCTGGAGAAGGCCTTTTTATTCCAGGGGTGAGCCTGCAGCCCAGTAGCTTCCTGCTCAGCCCCAGCTCTCAGGGATCCAGCTTGCACATACCAGGACCTCATTAGTCACCTTGGCCAGTACCAAAGGTTGGGATATAGACACTGAATCTGCTTTATGCCCTAGGGAGGTCTACCCAGGAACAGAATAGTGCAGGTCTTGGAGGTGAGCAGAAAATTCCAGAATCCTGTAGGACAAGACTTAAGAGAAGGATGTATAGGTGAGGCATGGCAAAACAAGTAGAAATGGCACAGCAAATGCATTTGGGGATGTGGGGACACCTGGAACCTTGGGGAGGGGTACACCTAAGAGTTAGCTAAGCAGAAGAATTGCAGAGAGAGGTAGGGAACTAGGGTGGGCTAGGCGGGTACCTTTGGCCAAAGAGATGTTCTTAAGCGCAATCGAGTGCTCCCAGTCCTTGAGGCGCAGGTCCTCAGTGACAGTGTTGAGCATGGCCAGTTCCTGCTTGAGCTGAAGTTCCATGGCCATGTGCACCAGGCGCATGCGACGTGTGTCCTCACTGGCGTTGCTCACGAGCACCTGCAGGTCCTGCAGACGCGTGCTGTGCAGGGCCACGTCGTAGGACAGGCTGTGGTTGAGGCCACGCAGTGCACCGCCCATATCAGCCATCTCCTCGCCCAGGCCGCCCACCCGATGTGCCAGCCCATCCAGTAGGCCCGCATGGCGTCGTAGCAGCAGCTGACTGCGATTGCTCTCCACCTGCAGCTGGTACAGCTCCAGCTGCGTTGCGTCACTCTGCTGGCCGGTGTGGTCACGTAGCAAGGCCACCGCCTGCTCTGTCTGTGCCGCCTGAGCTTGTAGCCCCCACAGTGCGCCCTCCAGCCGCTGCACGGCCCCTGCCAGCGCCAGAAGCGAATCTGTCTGGTTCTGCAGTGCATCCTGCACCTTCCATGCTTGCTCCATCAGGTCCGCCTGCAGCAGCCGCAGCTGCAAGTCCCGAAAACTCTCATTTAGCCGGTTCACGTGCCGAGTTAGGGCCTTCAGGTCGTCGGGAGAACTGCGGGGCCTGGACACTGCAGAGGAGGAGGGGAGACGTGAGCAACACTGCCGAGGGAGATCTCGATCTAACAGGAATCAAGCTTGACTGGAGCTTGGCATTCAGTTGGAGCTCCAGCCAGGAAAGAGGAATGAAAAGGCACAAGTGGCTAAGGTGGAGAGCTTTCACAGGCCCCAGGCATTGTGGGACCTGAACCAGTGGAGGGAGATCCTAAATTCACCTGTTCATTTGCATCACCTGGCCAGGTGTCCCACCTGCAGAAAATAGGATTGAATTGCTCTAGGGTGTGGCCTGGCCTTTTCAAAAGAGCTCAGTGTGAGTCTAAGGTGCTGATATGTCTCTGAATTGCTCAACTAATCGCCAAACTGCCTATCAGGTGGATGCTAGGGAAGCTCTCAGTTTCTCATACCTCGAAGGGATGACGGTAGCAGCAGCTTAGTGTAGGACAACTTAAGATGTCCAGGGTTGTGATTCTGTCAATTTCAGGAGGGAAGGTCTTCTTAGGTCCTCCCTCACCCTGTTTATATGTGGAAACTTCATTGCCAAGATGACAGTATTAAGAGGTATGGCCTTCAGAAGGGTAGAGCCCTCATAAATGAGATCAGTAGCCTTGTAAAAGGGGGCCGAGGGAGCCGTTGGCACATAGGAGGTGTCAGCTATGGGAACCAGGCCCTCACTAGCCCTGAATTTTCTGGCAATCTTGGCCTTGGATTCCCAGCCTCTGGAACAGTGAGCAATACATTTAAAAAATATATATTTGTAAAGGAAAGTGACAGAGAGATTTTCCATCTACTGGTTCAATACCCAAGTGGCCCAAATGGCTATGGCTGGGCTAAGCTGAAGCCAGGAATCAAGAATCAAGAATTCCATCTAGGTCTCCGACATGAGTGGCAAATGTCCAGATGATTGGGCCATTATCCTCTGCCTTCTCAGTAGAGTTAGCAGGAGGCAGGATTGGAAACAAAGTCATCATGATTTGAGCCAGCACTCTGCTCTGAGATGTCAGTATCACAAGTGGAGGCTTAATCCGTTGTGCCAGCTCAGCAATATAATCCTGTTTGTAAACTGTGCAGCCTGTGCTATTTCCTTACAGCAGCCCAAATGGTAGATGGAGACTGTGCTGTCCTTATCCCCTTGTATGGTTAGAGCTGTTGGTACAGCCCACGGAGTCAGGGCCCCAGGGCCTCACTGCACACATGTGGCAGCCAGGAGCGATCAAGGTAGCTGAAGAATGCTTTCCTAGCCATCTACCTCTCCCTCTCCTGCATCCACCAGCCCTCCTCCTATGTCCCCTGTTTTCTTCCTCAGCTAATGACTACCTTGGGTCTTCTCTACCTTCTCCACTTGGAGCCATCTCCTGCTCTTGGCTAATGGGCAGCAGTTGGTTTCACAACCCTAGGAGGAAGACATGAGCCTCAGTCTCCTAGCCTCCCTGTGCCTCCTTGGAGCCTGGGAACTGCCGTGCTGAGGCCCACTACAAACCCTGCCAGGAGAGGTCTAGGATGCTTGTTCCCTGGCTTTGTTTTGTGAATCAGGGACATGGCAACTGATAGTGGGGGTCAGACCAGATAAGAGTTGGGGGCAGAGAAAGCACAGAGGGAACTAGACCTGGGAATCTTGGAATGCAGAGAACCAGGGAACTTGGTTTCTAGCTGGTTCAAATAGCTAGAAAATCTGGACAGAAAATTTTTATTCTGCCTGAAAGACAGCACTTCAAAATTTCAGACTTATCACATCAGGTTACACAGTAACTGTTCTGGTGGAAAACCTTTGATTCTTTCATTTCCTTTCTCATGACTAAATCTTCTCACACTGCCTTTTGTCAGTACAGATTCCTGTCTTGCAACTTCCCTTGGCAGGTGAGGCTTCAGCAAAGTGAGGTTTTCTAAGGTGTGGACAGACTGGGCAAGCGCTGGGGAAGGACTGCCTCCACATGGCAGGTGGGGAACAACCAGCCTGATGGTCTCCAGTTAGTCTCTCTCACTTGAGAGAGACCAGATCAGGGAGACCCATGGCCTCTCAGAGGCAGTAGGGACACTCGCTGAGCCATGTCAGTGCTGGCTTTACAGTGGGCCTCTGCCTCACTGGGAAAACTGCACAGCCTCCTGAATTGGAATCACAGGGCTGCTTGGAGGCCACATTTGTCCATCATGGGCACCATTTGCTTCCTCCCCTCTCTCCAGCTCCCTGCTTCCTCCTTTCTTCCTCAGGTAGTCCCTATGTCCACCTGGCCCTCTGTGACCTTGCAGGGCCCTACGTAGCCCTGCCCACCAGCCAACTCTCCTGGGCACCTGCCAGTTCAAGGTTTTCTGTCTGCACAGGAACCTGCACTGGAGCCTTGTTGGTGGGGAGACGGCTGATGGTCAGCTCCCCTCCCTAGACAGTCCTCGTGGGGCCATCATGTTGTCCATTGCACAACCAACATGAACATGCATCCAAATAAAAGAAAGGAAAATTCTTCCACTACTCCACAGCTTCCAACAAAGCACAGTCAATCTTTACAAGTTGATATCTGGGCTCCCCCTCCCATCCATTATTACTATTATTACTATTATTACTATAATTACCTCTTACCATTTCCACTCCTTCTTCTTGTTTTGATAATCAAGATTCTAATGATTCCAATGGACTGTGAGAAAACATAGGCATGCTCCTGCTGTTGCTCAACAATCAACACAGGACATTGCTGTGGCCACATATGTCAGAGTTTCCCCACATGTCAAGCAAGCAAGCAGTTGTGCATAGATGCCAGCTGGGTATTCCCTAACTCCATTTTAACATTTAGCATTGCATCCCACAGGTAGAGAGCTCAGTCCCCAAGGCTGCCTGCACTACTTCTAATGCCATCCCAAGCTCCAGTTAGCTGTCCTTGCGACAGACTGGCGGTAAATCAGGGTTCCCACAGCTCCTGCACTTGGGTTTGATAATTTGCTGGAGTGGGTCACAGAACTCAGGGAAACATCCACCCTGATGTGTTATAAAGGTTGTTACCAAGAATATGGATGAAGAGAAACACAGGGCAAGGTATGGAGAAAGAGGCTTGGGCTTTCATACCCTCTCCAGCTGCCCAAGCTCCAACCACCCCCACATGGTCAGTGGTTCAGTCTTCGAGTCTGATCATTTTCCCCCTTGTGAAATATTTCCAGACAAAAAATTCCTAGAAGTTAGATGACTAGGTCAAAAAGCTTGGGAGTTTTTAATGACTCTTAATTCCAGGGGCAGGTGTTTGGCACAGAAGTTGTGACATCTCTTGGGTTGCCTACATCCCATGTTAGAGTACCTGGGTTCCAATCTTGGCTCCGATTCTTCCCTCCTGGGGAGGAAACAGGTAATGGCTCAAGTACTTGGACCCCTGCTATTCACACAGGTGATCAGTACCAGGTTACTGGCTCCTGGCTTTGACCTGGCCCAGCCCTGGCTCTTTAGGGCATTTGAGGAGTCAACCAGAAGATAGGAAATCTTTCCAAATGTCTCTGCCTCTCAGAAGTAAAAAAAAAAAAATCTTTAAGATTCATTAATGTAATTAGCAGCTTTTAAATCTATTTTTTAAAGACTTACTTATCTTTATTGGAAAGCCAGATTTACAAAGAGACAGAATGAAGGATCTTCCACTCGCTGGTTCACTTCCCAAATGGCCTCAATGGCAGAAGCTCAGCCGATTTGAAGCCAGGTGCCAGGAGCTTCTTTCAGATCTCCCACTCGCATGCAGGCTCCCAAGGGTCTGAGCCATCCTCCACTGCTTTCCCATATCACAATCAAGGAGCTGGATGGCAAGTGGAGCAGCCAGGACATGAACTAGTGCTCATATGGGATGTTAGTGCTTGCAGGCAGAGGATTAGCCAATTGAGCTAGTGCAACAACCCCCTTATTTATTTATCTATTTATTTATTTTAAAGACAGACAGAGAGAGAGAAAGAGATCTAAGATTTACCAGCTCTGATTCACTCCCCAAATAGCCAAAATGACTAGGCTAAAGCCAGGAGCCTTAATTACACATGGGTGTAGGAGCCCAAACACTTGGGCCATCTTCCACTGCTTTACCAGGTTCATTATCTGGGAAGTGGATTGAAAGCAGAACAGTAGAGATTTAAGTCAGTGCCCCTATGAAATGCTAGCATTGCAGGTGGCGACTTAATCAGCTGCACCACAATGCTTGTCTCAATAATAAAGTAATCTTTAAAACATTTCATTATTTATTCCAAAGACATGATGTCAGAAGAACAGAGAGCAGAAGGGGGTCGAGTGGGCAAGAATAGGGGAGAGAATCTTCCATCTACTAGTTCATTCCTCAGATACTTGCTAGTATCTGAGAAGGCAGAAGTCAAAAGCCAGGAACTCCATCCTGATCTCCTACATGAACAGCAGGAACCCAAAGCACTTGGGTTATTATCCACTTCCCTCTCAGGAACATTGGCAGGAAGCTGGATCAGAAGTAGAGTAGCTGGGACTTGAGCCAGTACTCTTATGGGGGATACCAGCATTGCAAGTGGCATTTTAACCTACTGCACCACAATACACGTCCCAAATAAATTTTTAAAATTTCAGCCAAACTATTCCTACAAATTTACATTACAGATGGCTTAATGTTTCCCACATGCCCCTCAGGTCTATTCTATTCTGGCCACTTCTCACTACCTCCTGTGAAGAATATACGGGGTCCTAAAGACCTTTCCCTACCTTCAAGAGGGCAGCAAAAACCCTTCGTGACTCTGTGGTGGACTGAACATCTGCACCCCTCTCTGCATATTCATACACAGGGAGTCCTGGCCCCTAATGTAACTGGATATGGAGCTGCAGCCTAAAAGGAAGCCATTCAGTGAAGAGGCTTGTCAGGGTGTGTCCTAGTCCCCTGTGACTGGGACTATCACTGCTGTTGTAGTAGGCAGTGTAGGACACACCAGCAAAGGGGCCATGTGAGGACACAGGAAGAGTGTCTTGTGCAAGCGGGGAGGACAGGCCTCAGGAGGAACCCAGCCACCAGCGGCACCTTGATCTTCACAGCAGGATAGCAGCTAT